TCTGTCAAAGTTCTTTGTTTCCAGATCCTGTCTGATCAGCTTAAGCTTAAAGCTAAGGGCTTGGGCCCTTAGCAGCAAAATTCTGATATTTATATTTTTTGTTTGTGTTTTAATCATTTTTGTGAAAAACCTGGCCCTCTAGCTGGACAATACATGGAGAATCAAATTTCTGAGTATTTTTTTCAATCTGTAAAACCTGGACGCTAAGGTCGTCCCAGCTGAAAGACCTCGTGCGTGAAGAGGCTCGTTAGACGCTTGAGCGCGCTACTGTCGTCGTTCATGTTTGAATGGCGCGGTTGAAGTTGGTCGAAAACAAGGAGGTGGACAGATATCCAGATACAGTACATCTGCTCGTCTGTTCCCGTCATCGCTGTTGGAGCTTCGGACGTAGTCAACCATTGGCTACCCCAGTGAATCACCGTTTCCTACCAGCAGCCCCAACAATATTGTGCTGATGAGTTAAATCGCAACGCGCTCAAAGGAGTATTGATGGTCAAAATGCTGTGTCTTGGTTGGTGCGTGAGCCGAGGCGCCAGGATTGAAGATTATCTCGTGCGACAAAGGACTCAACATAGCGCCAGAAATATTAACTCCAGTTAACTCCCGCTGTCCGTGATCATCGTTAATGATGACTGGAGGGAATAGCTTTCACATCGTGTCAGCACTTCAACTACAACTGGGGCTCGACAACATTTGTTTCGTATGTTATTCGCATCCAAGCACGTTGAAGGCAAGCGATAGTAGGCTTGCAAGCCTCAGCAGCTCGGGGAAGAAATCAAGTAGGTTAGCTATAGCACTTTTGCTGGTGCAATGTACTAGAGACCGTCTAGGGCGTTTCAATCAGTCTCATTTTTCAATTCGCCTCGTACTACAACAACTCTACGGCCCAACACCTTCCTTCCAAAGTTCGACAAGTAATCGTGCACCATGGTCCCATCTAATTCGATGAAAGGGATCACGGCGGTTTTGGTGGTGCTTCTGCTCGCCGACGCTGCCAACGCGCAGACGCTGGCCAAAGCAAGCGATGGCACTGGTTTCCACGTCTTCTTTCGAACTGGTTGGACAACTCCCTACATCCACTACAACACGGGCTCTTTCTGGACGACTTCACCGGGTGTTGCAATGACCAAGAGTAACGACTCGACCAACTTCCCTGCTGCTCTGGGTTGGTTCCGCTTCGACTTCCCAGCGTCGACGAGCTCACTCGAGCTCGTGTTCAACAACGGAAATGGTGCCTGGGACAACAATGGCAACGCCAATTACAAGATCAACGTTGCTGGAACATGGCAAGTGACGAGCTTCGTGAGCACTCCGCCATCGGCAACGGTTTTAACTGCAGCGAGTGATGATACCGGGTTGCATGTCTTCTTCCAAACTGGTTGGACCACTCCTTACATCCACTACTCCGCCGGATCAACGTGGACTACGTCACCTGGAAAGCTCATGTCTGCTAGTACCAGCTCAGCCTACCCCGCATCGGTTGGCTGGTTCCAGTACGACTTGGCAGCCCCGCAAGCGTCTCTCCAGTTCGTTTTCAACAACGGAAATGGTGTTTGGGACAACAACAACAATGCGAACTACAAAGCTACCAGTGCTGGAAGGTGGATTGTCATGAGCACTGTGAGTGTGCCGGCAGCGACGAAGACATCCACTCCAGCACCTACAACCGCGCCAAGTCCGAGTTCACCTCCTGTCAGTCCTACACCGTCTGGAAGCTGCTACAATTACAACGGTCTTGATTCTTGTTCCAGCTCCACGCAGACCGAACTTTCGGCTGCGGATGATCAAAGGAAGTGGCAAACCCCACCTCGTAATGCTAGCGGATGGTCTACTGAGTACCAAGACTACAGGTCGCTGACCGGCTACGCCCATGTCGTGTACGGATCTTCTCGCACATCTGCTACCGTGACTGTGCGAACATACCTGCGTGTTGCTTCAGCCACCTGCTCGTACACTTTTAACGGTGTCAAATCGACTTCCCCGACCTATGAAGTCACGAATTCGCTGAAAGACGACCTCGACATTGTAGCCACATGCACTGATGGGAACGACTCGTGGAAACTGGAGCTTGATCCCGTCAATTTCGTCTGGCAGAATAACGCGGTTAACCAACCAAGTGGCATGAAAGGAGGTCAGAAAGGTGCCATCGTCGACTTGTTCGGATGGCCGTACGATGACATTGCTCAGGAGTGTACAGACTTCTTGGGTAAAGCGGGTTACATGGGAGTGAAGATCAATCCACCACAGGAGTCCGTGCTGACGGATGCGTGGCCTCAAAGTGGTCAGAGGAACCCCTGGTACTTCGTTTATCAGCCTGTGAGTTACCGACTGTACTCACGTCTTGGAACGAGGAAGCAGCTCAGGAACATGATCCAAACCTGTCGCGCCAACGGATTGCGCGTATATGCTGATGCAGTGGTCAATCACATGTCTGGTGGAGGAAACGATGTGCTCTCGCACCGCTACAACAGTGATGGATCTTGCGTCACGTGGGGTGCCAAGTCCAGTGCCAAGGAATCTCCTTACTACACACACAGCTTCACATACGGCGTAAATGCTTACACAAATGTTCGCCCAGCGCTCGAGTTCCCGGCTGTTCCTTACGGACCGACAGATTTTCACTGTGAACGCACTATGAGCTCGTGGACAGACCCGCTTCAACTTGAAACAGGATGGCTTACAGGCTTGACTGACTTGAACACCGAGAAAACCTATGTTCGTGAGCGTATCGCTCAATATTTCGTCGATCTCCTCGGCATCGGCTTCAGCGGACTTCGACTGGACGCGCTGAAGCACATTGGACCTGTCGATACAGGTGCAATTTTCGGACTTCTGAGTAAATACATGGGCGGCAGTCTCCCGGACGACTTCATTTCATGGGGTGAAGTGATCTTGGGTGGCGAGGCCAGTCTTCTGGCATGCAACGCCAACTCGGGTTACAATTTCTACAAGGGTTTGGATGCAGAGTACGCTGCTAATGGAATCTCCGCCACTGACATTGCCAAGCTGAAGATCTGGTCGTCAGATTACCCGAAGGAATTCCCGATTTGTGGTTCTTGGATTCTACCGGCCTCTCGGTTTGTGATTCAGAATGATGACCACGATCAGCAGAATGAAGGTTCTTCGTCTCGTGATATGGGCGATGCTGGATCTGTGCTCATTAAGGATAAGGACGTCGCTAAGCATCGCTCTTTCGAGGTCAAGCTATTTACTCGCGCCGATGCGGACTGGCAGATCAAGGTGATATTAAGTTCGTACACGTGGTTCTCTAACGGTGCCGGAGGCTTCCCCGATGGTAACTCGGACTGCAGCGGGTTTGACTCATCACAAGGTCAAACGTGCACGGCCAGCGTGCCATACGAGAAGGCTTTCCGTGCTGGATCGTGTGGGTACACTGTCGAGGGCTTCGCTGGAGGCAGGTACACTCGCGTGCACCGCGATCTATCAATTGTGAACGCAATGCGTAGCTGGGTTGGTCTCTCCTCTGTGGCGCCGTCGGACATCGGAATCACCGGAAGTTGCTAAAGCTCATTGACGGTTCGCCCATTGGATTGTTTCGAATTTGGTTTGAGTATTAGTTGAAGTTTCATAGTCGGCATGTCCTGAAGAATGCAGTATACATGCCAGAAAAACATACCAGCGTCGTTGCTAGTTTTTTTTTACCAGCACGCTTCGAGGTATCTATGTACTAGTCGCGGGAGGAATTGCTTCGCCTCCACGTGGAGATGTCGCTCCAATCGCTAAAAGTTCTGTTTGCTCAACGTTATCGGGCATCACATGACTTGCTTTTGCGTGAATCACCCGAGCAGCGAATAAAGCACCAGCACCTGTTAAGGCAGCGCCGCAAAATCCGACGAAAATCCACATTGCGATCATTGCGCTAATGCTTTCCACGTACTGTGGATCAGAGGTCATCAACTCGATATGCATTGGAGATGTCTTCAAAGATCCAGCCTCTTGGTATGCAAATAATTTGCTCGTGACAGAAGTGTCGTCTAGACTGGGTCTCATGAAATCAACTGACACGGATATACAATTATCTGAGCCGTCAACGCACGTTGTTCTGGAATTGTTGACGACGTACATTACCTCTGAAACTGTATCGAGTGAGATCATAGAATAGACTTGTCCATTTACTCCAGTAAAATTCTTCGTCGTCAGCATTCGATATAGGACCGATGTCAATGCCTTTGCAGAAAAAGCAGAGCCGCATACTGCCGTTTCTTCGTCTTCAACGCATTTAATGTTGAATAAAATTCGATCAAAAGCGCACTCGCTTTTTCTTTCACATACCAGGGAACAATTCTTCATTCCAAACGTTGGCGGACACCAGCACACATTCCCCGCTGAGCTTTTCAGACACTTACCACCGTTCAAACATTCGTATTCCTTTTCACAACCAGTGTCGTCGTCTTCAATGACGACCCGAACGCCCTGAGTGACAACGTAACCCGTCGAAGGGTTGTTCTCATTGGTGCCAATTTGCAACCCATCGTATACAATATCGCTGCTAGTAACCTTGTGATGAAGAACAGGCTGTTTGTGTTTTGGAATAAGTTTTTCGTAGTTCAAGGTGAAAGGATACGCTGCGTCGTAAATGTCGTTTCCAGCAGGATAAATGCTGATCAATTGAGGTTCGTACCAGTTCAATAGAGTGAAAGTCAGCTCCAGTGGTGAAACGGAGAACAGATTCGCGTCGTTTTCATACGAAATCGTGATGGTGACATCCTGTAGTGGGGACGAGTCTAACGAGATCGAGTAATTTGCCTTTGGGCTACTTTCCGACTCGATAATTTCACTTGCTGAGATCGTAACACCAGGCAAATCATCATCCACTACGGTCACTTGAATCGACCCAGATGCAGACGTCCATTTCGCTGCAATATGGAACGGCCATTTATCATCTTGCTGATCACGAACTACAAATTCCGCACTTGAATATGAACGAGATGCTGAAAGCTGGACAGTGGAGCGCAAAATTCCATTACTGCCAATTGTTTGGGACGGTACAACAATACCATCGCTATCTGTTGACGACGAGCGTATATGCATCGTGAGCGTTCGGTTTCCACGATATGTGTTGTCGTCTACTGCCAAAAAGGTGAGTTCCTGAGGGGTGCTCCAATTTTCTGGGGTGAATCGAACTGTAGTTGGCATTCGGTATTGTCGAATGTCACTGGATTCGTACTTCGCACCAACTAAATCTGTCAGTGAATTAGAAGAGCTCGATGCATTGGTCGAATCAAATGCTGTAACAACGACACTCCCAGGTTCTATTAGGACAGAGACAAAAGTATCAGCCAGAGGTTCACTCGATAAGCTTATTGCCACACTGTCTGGCACACCATAAAGATGCATACGCGATAAGTGGCTTGACGCTGGTGGTACGCTGTCTGGACTGGTGAGATCCCCCCTGACAAGAAGAGGAAACGTTACGGGCTTGTATCCGGCCATTGTGATTTGTGGTGCAAAAGTGCAACGATTGATCGAATCGTAGGATTTATCGAACACGATCAAAATGCTGTACACATCGAAGAGTGAGAGATCATTCATCGTAATGATTTGAGATGCACCAGACTTCATCGGCACATGTACAGTTGCCATTTCAATCCAATCCTTGGTGATATTGAGAATGTCATGACTACTGGCTGCGATTTTAGGATTCCCCCATAGTGAAAGCTGACGAATATATTTCGTTCCAGTCAATGCCGGGATCACCAAAGACAAGCTGGACAAGTTCGTTGGCGACTCAAACCCAGACATTATCCATGAACTGCCAGTTTCGAGTGGTCGTGCAGTACTGTTGGCAATACAAGTCTCCCATGGTGCACCAGATATCCCACTGAATGATACCGTACAAGCTTCATTGGAAGTGTTATGAAGATCTATCACTGTATCAGGATCATTACTGCAGCGGACGTACCGAGCCTGAAGCTCCGACGGTTTATAAAATGAGGCTGCGTTTGGATACGCATTACTTCCTTCGATCACTGTGAACTCCGATTTCGAAAGAATGACTTTGTTCTCGTCATCCTCTAGTATGAGGATCTTCTTGACACTCGAATCGTTAAAGAGATCACCGTTGCAATTTACCTGAAAGCTCCCACAAAATGAATCCCCAGCATAATCCGGATCCAGCGACTCAGCTGTATGGACCATCAAAATTTCACGATCACCAATCGCAACCTCATCGTCAATGGCGCGCACTTGAAGCTGCTGAGATTCACGCCAATTTCCAGATGTAAATAACAATTCATGGCGACAAATACGAGTCGTGTCGTCACATGGAGAAGGATCTACGCCTTGCATAGGAGAAAGCGAGAAGTTGATTTGATTTTGACCAGCACAAGACTTTGCAACGCTGGGCATATACCCACCGATCGATATTCTACTGCTCGCAAAAGACTGCTGATAAATCTCAACTTCGTTTAGAATAATACTGTTCTCCCCTTCGACCTGCAGTCTCAGATATTGCGCTTCAGTAGAAACATTGTAGTCAGCAATAAACCGGTCCTCACCAAAATGTCCATTCGTTTCCCCATTTACACGCCATCGGTAAGTGATCGTATCCGCCTCAGATGCATCAAATGTCCGTGATAAAACGTCAAACTTGTGCAAGTATAGCGCACTGGTTGTTGCAAACAGAAAGTCCTCCGTTTCATTGTTTGTTTGGGGGAATGGAGTGTTAGACAGGAAAACCCAAATGGTTGCTGGGAGTTGATCTGCATTCAAGTCACCCTCTGGCACCTTTTTCTTAATGGTGATTACGACGTCTTCAATACGTCGGATCTTGTTCAGGTCAATCTGCCACCACGGGTATGTGTCCACTAGTCGTGACATTGCGTAAGTAGAGACAATTCCTGAATCTGAGTTAGTCCTGTCATCAATAGCAGCGTCAGCATTTCCTTGCTGACTCTGGGATGCTATTCCCGATACGGCAAGATTTACGCTCCCGGATGCAGTCAGCTTAAGTTGCGGATGCAATGTACTATCACTGTGCTCTTTTGATGCGAAACTAATTTCGTCCACCCCATCGTAAACAAAAGTAGCAATTGATCTTGAGTACACTAAGAAAGAGATGGTACTGGAACTGGAGGACTGATCTCGCTGCTGAGCCAAAACACGATTCACAGCAGCAGTGACGTCGACTTCAATCCACCCCGACGACGGTACAAACTCATTGGTGCTCGGATCGATCTCCCTACTTTGCTTGATGAGGATCTCGCCATCTGTCTGCAAGCTAACCTCCTCAAACGTAGTCGTACCCGGGAAAAGCGATGCAGTTGCAGATCCATTTTCAGTCAATGAGCATTCAGGAACAGTCTTAGAATTGCTTTCAGCACACTCGGTTTGAAGTAAGGTTTCATTCCAGGCATCCGATGTCTCCATTTTAGCAGTAGTAACACCCACAATAATTCCACCCAGTCCGCTGTTCTCTCCACCAGATAAGCGAAACAATCGAAGAGTGGCCAGTCCAACTTGTGAGCTGCCAGTTGCCGTTTGAATTGATGGAGAAGTTTCAAATCGAACAACCGCAATGGACTTGACGGTCTTACCTATTGTGCTCTGCGACGAATTTGATGCAGTCACAAGTGACGCGGACGCTCCTAAAGGTTCTTGCGAGTCGGTAGAAAAAACAAGAGTTGTGTCTGAAGTAGGTCCAAGAGTTACGTAGAATGGTTCATAATCGCCTTCATGTGGCTCCCAGTGCATGGGCTCACTACCTAACTGTAGCTCGTAAGTCACATCATTCCCGCCATTTTCTTGAGTAGTCATACGAGAGGAGTCCAGCAGCACTCTAGCAGCAGGAAACCGTTGCACAAACAAAGTACTCACTGGCTGGTTACCTTGGTTATACATCATATCGCCACTGGCTGAATAGACCAATATTTTTGAGTACTGTACTTCGTTTGAACTTATACCAGTGACTGCTGAGACTTTCACGTTCTGGGCTTCTCCCCATGAAGACGGTGTAAAGTGAATCGCTTCAGGTTCAACCTGAATCTTGGAATCTGCGTCAATCACGAAAGATATGTCTACGTTTGCGAGAGGTTGAGTCATCAGCGCAATTTGAACGGATGCATCGTGTCCATTTTCTCGAACACATGCAACGTTTTGCGGCTTGCGATCTGTCTGCTGGTGACGAATAACCTCAGGAACAATCTTGAGTGTTGGTTGATCATCATCAAGTATAAATACCTTAATCGATGAATGCTGCGCTGGAGATGTCACTATTCCGTCACTTTCCTTCCAAGAAAAGGCATGATCGGCATTTCCAGTGTCATAAGTTCCCCACTTCTGCGTATATATGCCAACACCAAGAGTATAACCGACAGAGCCTGCTACTGTCTTGAACGGAGCATTATAGAATGTGTCAGTACTGGTGGCAGTAACAGAAATAACACTGCTGTGGATAGCACCCGCAACATCATCAGGCACTGCTTCGACGAGGACAGTCTGATACGCTTTCCAGTTTGTAGACGAAAATGACAGGGAATTCGGAGTTAGTTTCAGCTCTGCCGCTGCCGCACTCACACCAACAGTAACAGCAGAAATTGGCTGCGAATTCAGTCGGACTCGAAAAATATCCGTTTGTCCAATTTCAGACACTGACAAGCTCGCTTTCGACACGATCACAGCGGGGTCACCATCGTCTTGAATTGTTACAATTGTTCCAACATTATCAAGTAACTGATCTGTGTGCGGCTCGAGGGCCAATAATTCGTCATGGCACCAGGTCCATTCAGTAGGATGTTCATAATCAATTCCTAGGTGGGCTCCACCGGCTGCATTTTCAAGGACAACTTTGAATACCTGGTCAGGTGCTTGGAAGAGATCGTTGTCAAGGATCGATATGTCTACAGTTTTCCACGCTTCCTTGTCAGCGAATGTAAGCGTTGTTGTCTGGACTGGTGTATACGCAACTGATTCTTTTGCGGTGCAGGGGCTAATATGTGTACAGCCACGAGTCTCGACAATTCCGTAATCGTAGTCGATATCGTATTTAGATTTCCCCGGTACAATTGTGCCACTATACGTTGCAATATCAACTTTCACCTCGCCATCGGTGTATGTGTTCACGTTTGTCGCATCCGGGATTCCTGAACGGGTTACTTTAACGGTGACTTTGCCCACGTTTTCCAACACCTCGTAATGAGGTAGGGCAAATGACAACGTCCCCGCATCGCGATCATCAATAATGTAGATCCACATATCTGACTTCGATCCGATGGTCGCACCACCAGTGACGGACAGCAAACGAACCTTGATGGCCCTCGAATCGGGCTGGTACTTGTCGTTGTTGAATACCTTTACGGCAAAAGTTTTAGTCACTTCATCTGTCGCCCACGTAAGCTCCTGCGAGACGCCTAAGTAGTCGAAGGCTTTGCTGCCACCATCTGTGGCATTGCTATCAGCTCCAATTGTAGCTACTTTAAGAGCAACCGGAGCGTAGGACGCTGATGAAAATCCGATGCTTCTCTCAATGGACACGACTGCATTTTCATTGTCTTCTCGGCAGAAAATATAGGGAGCTGCAAAATTAAATTCGCCAGCATCACCATCATCCGAAATGAAGACAGTTGCTATCGGATTAGTGGTGCCAATACTCGCCGGAGAGTCCACGGTTTTGATCTCAATGTAGAAATACTCATTTGCCTCGTATTCTGCATCATTAATCAATTCAAGGTTAATGAAACCTTCAAGTTGATTTTCTTCAAAGTTCACTTCATAAACCGAATCCGTGAATTTGAAATTCTTGTTGACTGTCGCTGTTGCGTCCATGGGCTTCGCGAGACCATACTGAACGACCACACTTCCACTTGTACCCCCCGTTCGGACAATTTTTACCTGAACTATGCCAGCGTCCTCCTGAAATGTGTAGCTCGCCGCATCAAAATCAAATACCCCTGCTACTCCCAAAAACGAATCTTAGGCATTATTACTGCGACTCATGTCAAAATGAACCTCACCGTTTGCAGTAGCACGAACCACAGCTAGACTGAACACGAAGAATACAAGACTGCACTGCGTGAGTCTACCACCACACCTCCGGCGGCCCATCCTTACAAAGCTACACCAGCTAATATATTCTGAGAAGTCGCGACATCAATGTGGCGTGGTACACATAACTTCAACTTCCCGACCATCACTCTGAAAAAGTACATCAGTGCGAACGTCGCTCGAAGGCCGCCGCCCGCGCTGCGCTGTTCGACGTGCCCGGAGGTCCACGCGCTCGCAAACAGAAAACATGTCGACCTTCCTACTTCTCCCCCACCACTCATTCTCACCTCACGTCGTCCTCACTGCTTGCAAGCCTCTCGAGCTGAGCGAACAACTCGAGAAAGGCAGCACAGAGAATTGTGCGCTCAAATAAGGCGCACCCTTTCTCGGCTGGCGGAGAAGGTTTGGTACGAAGGGCGAGGCTTTCGAGACACTTGCTCTCACTTTGAGTTTCTCCAATTAAGAAGACAGATCCAAGCGACGGCGGCGACTCTTTCCCATGGAGGCGGGGGATAACATGACAACACCTTCTCCAGCACTAACTGCGCATATCAAGCTCGAAATTCTATCGGATGTCATGGAACCTCAGCAGCACGTCTTTGATTCCTTGCAGACCAGAACCGGAATGACCCCAAGTGACCACAACGACTTTCTCCCGTGGATTCCCTACCCATTGGGTCAACCTGTACCTGAAGATGCTGTTCCTGCTTTCAATGATCAGCGGTACAGACACCATACCAAGCAAGCGCTACTAATTTTGATTGATCTTTAACTCGAGTTGGCTACGGTGATCCGTTTTGTGTCGAAACAGACTCAACCCTCTCGAGTGGGTCCAGCTCCTTGAGCAGACTGAGTGTTTGGATTATGTCAGCCCCGATATCGACGAGTGTCTAGAACGCCATTCCCGTATGGAAGGCAATCAAGAGCTCGAACTTACAGGCCGCGAATTTATCGACAGTCCAACGATACCAAAGTTACCACCGCTAAACGTCCTTTCTTCTGCGGAGCGTCCAACGATACTGAAGCCGATCACACGTCCTCAACGTACGCGTTGATGTTCTTGTTAATATCAATCGAACACTGACTCGTTTGTCTTGTTTGTGCTGGATGCAGGCAACGTGTCTCGACGTCCAGGCCTACGCGAGCAGTTTCCTCGCCAGCAGTTGCTGATGGAACATCAGATGGAGAATTATCCTACTGCTGCCGAACAAGTAGTTCAAATGAAGAGACCTACACGGTGCAGCAGTACGACCACAAAGCGAGACGCGGGAAACCCGCCATCACGCTCAGCCAGCAGGTCGCTCAACTTTGAAGCCACTCAACAGCAGAAACCCAATACACAACACAAGCGTACATCATGGGGTGGTCGCTCATCCACTCCAGCAACATCACGACGGCGTTGCAAGTCGGCGAGAAAGTCGAAGGACTGCATGATCCCCGGTTGCACGAAAGGCGCCCGGTCGAGAGGACTCTGCAAGCGCCATGGCGGTGGGAAGCGGTGTACCCATCCAGAGTGTACTCGCAGTGACCAAGGAGGCGGTTTTTGCATTGCACACGGCGGAGGTACGTTGTTGGTGTCGGCGAAATCCATCCCATTCCGACTGGCGTTGCTTGTATTGATGCGAACCAGGCAAGCGGTGTGCAACTGAAGGATGCAAGAACTCAGCCCAGTCTCGCGGACTCTGCAAGAGCCACGGAGGTATTTACTGAACGCAATACATTTTCTATTCAGTATTTCTGACGATGATCTATTGCTGTGGTAGGTGGTAAGAGATGCCGCACCAAAGGATGCACCAAGAGCAGCCAGGCAGGAGGATTCTGCCGTGGCCACAGACCACAAAGCATCCTTATTTAGACCGCGCCAGTGTCAAGCCTCCCGATCCAGCAAGTTGATCACCGACTTCGTGAATGTTTCGCCGTAGTGTACTAACGTTAGTCAAGTTTTGAAATTGAGCAAGTTGAAGTCAGTATCCAATCTTATCGCTCAAATGATTGGCCAAAATGTGGGTCAACGGGTGACATGATTGGCAAGAACCATCTGACTCATCCTCCTCTTTGCCGCCAAAACCGGAGCTCATTCCCCGCCAAAATCTCCCACAGCCACGTGAATTTGACTTCGCTTCGTTCCGGCTGAGCACCATACAGGTCATGGCGGACCTTCCAATCCAGGTGCGTGTCTGAAGGCTCCGGTTTGCTCCCGTCACCCTCAAGCTAACTTTTACTGTATCTCCAGTGCGTGAAGAATGTGGTGCTGGAGGTCACACGTGACAACGGAGAGATCGATCGCAGCACACTCCAGACCGACCTTGTGCTGCGAAAGGAGATAGGCAACGCGCGCCTCGTGAGTGGCGACACCATGCTCTGGGTGGGTAAGGGCGTGTTGTCCCACAAGGACTCGACGCTAGACTCTGCACTGACGCGCACTGTGCGCGTGGAGAGTGGCAAACGGCGCTTCGTGTTCACACTCCCCCTGGATGCCGCGGGTAAACATTTTTACGCCGAGCTCAAGGACCAGGTGGACGGCGTGGAGATTCGCAAGAAGAAGCGCAAAATCCGCAAGCAGTTGAGCCATGTAATGGGCTTCACGCCCGTCAATACACTGAAGAGCCCCATGAAGAGCCCCTCACCTTTGCTCAAGAGTCCGGCCGTGAAGCCTCCCATGACTCCCAAGCGCAGTCCTCTGGCAGATATTGGGACGCCCAAAAGGACCCCACAGCTGACACTCCCGCCTCCGTTACCGGTAACTACGAAGGGCTCGAATTCATCTTTGGCCTCTCCGTTGAGGTCACCATTCCGCTCTCCGTTCCGCAAGAAAGCACGGCTCTCGCAAAGTCCGTTGAGTGGAGGAAAATCGTCGGAGAATGCTGGAAAAATGCCACCAGAATCCCCAGCGCGTGAATGGCTCAGTCCAGCTCGATCGCTTAGGCTTCGTAGTGGACCGACTCCACCGGATCTAAAGCAACACCACAAAACCCCTGAGATCCGGAGTGTGGAAAAAGAAAAAGGTTCTGGAGGAAGCTCTGGCGAGAAATCACGTCGGAAATCGATCACTGGATCGATTAATAAGCGAGTTCGCTCGCTCCAGCTCATGCTGGACGATGATTCAAGCATCAAGGAGGCTGAGGAGCATGCTAAAAAGAAAATCACCTCTCACTTCTTCAAAATGAGCCCGTCTCCCAGTTTCCACAATAAGACTGCTCGAGCACTGGATATGTCGATGGAATCTGCGTCGGAAGAGATGGAGCAAGCGGATAACAAGACGAATGCTTCGAATCCCAATGCAGGAGACTCACCTGGGGATGGAACTCAACGAAGTACTCATGGATTGCTCAATTTGGGCAACTACTGTTACATGAATGCTATAGTGCAGGCACTGGCAGCTCTTCCCGAGTTTGTAAGTGGTATTCAAAATGAAGAAAACCTACTGAAGATCATCCAAAAGCAGCCTCATTCGAGTGCGAAGGTCAAGACTATGGAGCAACTAAAGACCATTTTCGACAATTGGCGGACAAGCGGAGATACCAAACATCTTCCGTTGCAGTACACGTTAAGCCAGTTACTCCAGCAAGTTATCAATGGCAGCGAGACGTCGATCAACCCGGAACCTCTCAAGAATATCATGGGAAAGAAGAACCCCATCTTCGCAACGTACGTTACTGGCTAACTGCTCTTGTATCTGTTTGTTTATTCTAACGCATGTCGTGGTTGTTATTGCAGCCACTTTCAGCAAGATGCCCACGAATTTTTGCTAAATCTGGTGACGGAATATGAAAAGGAGCTGGTGCAAATGGTTCATGAAATTACCGAAAAGATTGAGGAAGAGGCCAAGTCAACTCCTCAGGTACAGAAGAGCAGTTTGCTGAAATTCTTCCGCAACGGTCCTAAGGCGAAGCAGACGGAGCAAAAGAAGTATGACAAGTCCTCCAATGCAGAACTGGAGCTCATATGTCGTCTTCCTCCAGCGAAGTGCTTTCGCGCAGAGTTGAATCGCACGCTAACCTGTCGGAAGTGTGGGTACAGCCGGAAAAAGGCCGAGACATTTTACGATTTCTCCTTGGATCTACCTTACCACTCCATCCCAGCGCCAGAACCCACTGCCGAGCAGGAACCTCAAGCACCGCCGTCACCCGAACGGCAGTGTTTTTGCAATCTTACTCCTGTAACAAGTGGAGAAGGCAACGAGCGCTACTATTGCTGCCCAAAAGCATCCTGTAGTTATCGTGACAGATACGTGGAGAGTGGGGAGCCTGCACGGTCACCTGCGAAAACTACAGATACGATGGTGAAGTCTGCTGCGGCACCGTCATCAACACTTGCTGCACGTGGATGGCCAGCTCGGCCACCACAGATTGAGTTGGAAACACTGGTTCAGAAACAATTTGAAACCGAGGTGCTGGAATTGACTTGTGAGAAGTGCAAAGACGGAAAAGAAGCGGAGTCGGCGTACCAGATCAAGTCCTTGCCGTCGGTCCTTGTTTTCCACCTGAAGCGCTTCGAAGTAAACCCTCATACTGGCGCTTTGTTCAAGCGCTGCGACCCAGTCATACCACCAGCCGTGATTGATCCTACACGTTCCATCAACTGTACTGCTTTATCGGGGACTGATTCCCGATATGCGCTTAAAGTACGTACTCCAGGCTTGACCAATGCTTGTGTCCATGTATCCCATTCTAATTTGTGCTTACTGTGCTTGATTCAGAGCGTCATTCACCATCTTGGTAAAAGCATTGATGAAGGGCATTATGTTGCAGACGTGTGCGATGCTAATGGCCAGTGGATTCGTCGAAATGATACGCACGAGTCTATGGTACGCATGCTTTTTTCCGAATTGATTTTAGTTCCGCAACACTCATACATGTATGTGTACTTCCGTATTTTCCAGATCTCGGAAGACTATGCGCTACAATCTTATCGAAGCCAAGAGTCATGCTATATGTTCTTCTATGTCAAGTCGGAGAGAATTAACACTGATGGTGGCAAGGAAAATGTACCAGTAAACCGCGCTTCACCCCAAGACGAAAACGATGAAAACTCGAGCCAGCAGCGGCAAGGAGCTCCAAGTAATGAGCTGAGGGCCTTCTTGTAGCCCTCAGAAACGATTGGCACACACTTACGTGTTGATCGGGTATACTAGTATTTTTGAAATAAACTACACTGCTTAGTCCACGCCATTATGCTCTTTAGGGACACTAGCTTTTCTACTTCATTCTTGGAACGAAGGCTTTGCTAAAAGTGGTTGGCAGACTACTTGGACGCAGGTTTGATAGCGTGTACCGATAGTAGAAGTATTTAACCGGCAAAGTTATCCAGCAACTCATCCTTGTGAAATGCCGTTCGGGTTTGCAAAAGCATCAGGAGACTCAGTCACTGGAATCAATCGCATTATCGTACCTACGCCACCAGGAGTCGAATGAAAATATTAGTTGTTTGCAGACAAAAAATATGGACGGGTATGTATGCGTACCGACAGGAAGCGATAGGGCACCTAAGCCAAAACAGACTAGCCAATGTGTAAATGAAATGCCACTCGTTTTGATGAAATCCCCACCGAACTCAGCAAGAAGTATCTGGACGAAAACTGTGATCAAAACTATCATGATGAAGAGCGGGTTTGCAACCAGTCCGTTGAAAACTCTCCACTCGTTGTTTGTTTTCCGTGCGTTGAACTCGTTAAATAGTTGACTGAACACGAAAGTGTTGAAGATAATTGTGTAATGTCGATAGTCGTAAGCCGTACACGTATCCTTCAAGCAATCAACCGGATAATCAAGCACAGTTGAGTTCTTCGCGTAGTCCTCGCATGCTAAACTCCAACAAGCATCCCCGTTTACCGTAACACATGTACCGTTGCTGAGGGTGGGAAAGCTGGACTTCACGCTGTATTTCCAAGCCACGCATTTGTTACCGTCGTGGTAGCCAAATTGTTCCGCCCCATAAATGAGCAATAGAAATACAAGTAGAAGCTGAAAAATTGACTGCACGATGATGTTCTTAACCATGCATCTCCCTAACAGCATTGCACTCTTCCTGTAAGGACGTCGATCCAGCAGTGCCTCTGTGGGGGCTTCCGTTCCGAGTGCCAAAGCACCCATAGTGTCCATGATAAGGTTGATCCAAAGCATCATGACTGAATTTAGTGGAGGTTCTTTTCCTGTTACAGCACTCACGAAAGTAACCACGAGAGCCACAATGTTGACTGTTAGCTGGAACTGAAGGAACTTGCGGATATTATCGTAAACACAACGTCCCCACAGCACAGCCTTTCGGATAGAGGAAAACTTATCGTCCATAATAATAATGTCTGATGCTTCCTTGGCAAGATCGGTGCCCGTAATTCCCATCGCCATACCAACATCTGCTGTTCGTAGCGCTGGTGCGTCATTTGTGCCATCACCTGTCACGCCCACAACCTCCGATCGGTCTTTCAGCAAATTCACGAGACGAAATTTGTCGTCGGGAGAAGACCGTGCCAGGACTTGCAGACGGGGAATGAGTTTACTAACCTCTTCTACACTCATGCCTCGAAATACAGGACCTTCAAGCGCGACGCCATCCTCAGTCATAATGCCGCACTGTTTCGCAATGGCTGATGCAGTGTGGATGTTGTCACCCGTGACCATGCGCACCATTATACCAGCACGTTTACAATCTTTAATGGCATCAGTGACGTCTGGTCGAAGCGGATCCTGAATACCAAATATGGCATTCACAATCAGTTCCTGGTCTGGTGCATCAGGAAGCGAATGCAAGTCACTTGGTAGCTCTCCACCGGCAAAATCTCGGTGACCGATACAAATTGTGCGTAATGCAGACTCCGCCATTTGCCTGATGATACGATTCAACTCGTCTCGCTTTGTTGAGGTTAGCTCTTGGATGTTGCCATCGATGTCAATGTATTTGTTTGCTCGCGTTAAAATCACCTCAGCAGCTCCCTTTGAGTAAAGACGGCAAGTTCCGTTGCTACACTTGACAATTGCAGCCATAGATTTCTTTTCCGATGAAAAAGGGAACAGTCTATCACCCCGTATAATTTGGAAGTTTTCTCGGCGAATGTCAGTTATGGGGAACTTGAGCTTGTTCATCCACAACAGCACTGCGCCTTCGGTTTTGTTGCCTTGAACCTGGGGAGTACCATTGGCATCCTTAAGGTAAGCGCTTGTATTGACAGCAATGTTGACGGCAAGTTCGTCGAGAGCTTTCGCATTTACTTGAAATTGCGTTCGACTGGCGTTTGTAAACTCGTCCTTGAAAAACTTGCCTAGAACCCAGCCTTGCACAACGGTCATTTTGTTTTCAGTAAGAGTGCCTGTCTTGTCGGAGCAGATACTGGTGACGTTGCCCATCGTTTCACAAGCTGCAAGCACACGAATGAGGTTGTTATCCCGGAGCATCTTCTTGGTAGAATAAGACAGCGAAATTGTCACGGCTAGCGGCAGTCCTTCTGGAATCGCGACAACAATGATCGTGACACCAATGAGGAAGGTGTGTAAAATGTACGACGGCCACGAATATTCCAGCTTCTTGTCGTCTGACGTGGCATAGATAATGATCATGGCCACCATTGTAGCGATGGAAAAGGCCATGCCCACATACCCGATGTGTTTTGCCATTTCTTCCAGCTTCTCCATAAGAGGCGTAGCTTTCTGCTCGCAGACAAGTTTGGACTTGATTTTCCCCCAGCGACTCTCAGCCCCGACAGCGATCACTAGACACTCTCCTCGGCCGCTAGCTACAAGACAACTCGAAAGCAGAAACGGGTCTTTCTTGTGAACTTTACTCACATCATCTGGCTCACCAGTAAGGCTGGACTCGTTGCATTTGAGATCACTCCCATTAATCAGTACAGCATCCGCAGGCACTCTGTCGCCTGTTTCAAGGATGATCACCTCGCCCACCGATATTTCTCCCACGGGGACCTGATCAGGTTTGCCATCTCGAAGTACCTTCACCAACACGTCATCGTTTTTTGCACTAAGTGCACGGAATTGCTTTTCCTTCGTGTAGTTGTTGACTGAGGTCACGCCAGCTACCAGGATTACTCCGAATAAAATCGCAACTCCTTCACTCCAACCTGTTTCCGGATGCTCCATGTAGCCAGTAACCATTGAAGCAATTGCAGCGATGATCAAGATGATCAGCGTCGTGTCTTGTAAGCTCTCGACAAAAAGCCGAAACAAGCCTTTCATCGGAGACTCTGGGAAGATATTCCGACCAAACAAATCCCGACGCACTGTGAAGTTCGTGTCGATTTCGCTCCGAGGCAAACCGTGCTCTAAGTTCACACATAACAGATTAGCTAACGCAGTCACGCCTCCTATCCGTGCTAGCTCCTCTAGGTTTGCCTCCGTCATTTGGTCTTGATTGAGCTTCCGGACCTCTTCCAGTGTGATCCCATAGGGGGACGATGGCGCCACCTTGCTGACACTGGAGGTTGCAGAGCTTTGGGTGTTGCTTTTGCGAGGTGTCGGAGGTGACGACGGAAGCGGTTGAACTGACTTAAAGTCAGGCATGCTACAGAATACTTCTAGTCGCCGGTGAAAATACTTATCTGGGGGCAGTGGAAAACCAGAGCTTCTAGCAAAGTTTCATCCAAGTCTAGGACAACTGTCCTTCTCCTACTGTCGCTACAGTGCTGTCGATCACCCGGAGATTTCCGTTTTAGCGGAGAGTGGTGCGTTTCGGCGTGTGCCTTGGTCAAATGCCATACCCATAGATAGAATCGCTCTGCTTGTCAAAAATAGTTGCCTTCGTTGAATACATTATTGTGCCACTGTTTTCAACCAATCCGGCGATGAAATCACTCCTATTGGCTGAAATATTGTTGTAGATGACCTGCGCATCGATGCGCTTCGGCGGAACACTTGAACTTTCCTACGATGCCGCTCTGCGCCGCCTGCTGCGTTACCAAGGGCTTTAACAAGTGCGAGCACCTTGCCACTCCTCGGTAACATTGCTGCCAGCGTTTTAATGCTAAATTGCGCGTTTTTTTATGCTGGTTGGAACAGGTTTCACGGCGGACAAAGACACCTGCCGCGACCAGTGTGTAAGGAGTGTTTTAGAAATGGAAAGAAACCGGTAGACCTAGGAGGCGAGCCGGAGGCGTTACTGTGAGTTGTGGGATACTTTGTCATTACGCTGCAATTGTAGGTTACTTGAAATAACTGAATGGGGGCAATCTTCCGATCTGCAGGATTCGAGCTCCAGGCGACAAGAAAACTGCGAGTCTGGCTGATTTTCAACTGCTCAGCGTCATCGGACAAGGCGCATTCGGCAAGGTTAAGCCGGGTGTTAAGCGGTTGGTGTATGGACGCCTGATCGTAAGTTTTAATGTTGCTTTTGATGGTTGCGGTTCTAGGTGCTACTGGTGCGACACTCTACCACTGGAAAGGTTCACGCGATGAAGGTGCATTAGCTGCGCAGCACTCTTCAGTTCCTTTAACATTGCCTTATTTTTTTCTATCCTGTACTTCCTATTTTATTATTTGATGTGGTAGATCATCAGTAAACAGTTCGTCATTGATATGGACAGCGTCCACTACATGAAAACCGAGCGTGACGTCATGACCAAGGTTGTTATCGAAGACGGTTTTATTTGCCGTCTAATCTAGTCTTACGATATTGGTGTTTTACAGATTCGCCACCCTTTTGTGATTGGGCTGAATTACGCCTTTCAAACGGAATCCAAGGTGGGTACAGCTTCGAGTATTTTATGTTTTTTATCCATTGCTGTAGCCTCAAGTGCTGGGCTGGCTATAGGTTTATCTTGTGATGGATTACCAGTCTGGAGGAGAATTGTTTTCTTATCTGAAGGAAGAAGGCACTTTTACTGAGGTAAGCGTGTTATTTGGTTGTTTGTTTGGAAGCGTGGTCACCACTGTTGACAATTCGGTAGGACGCCACACGGTTCTACATGGCCGAAATGATTCTGGCCTTGGAGCACCTCCACGGGCATGGCATTATCCATCGGTCCGTTTTGCTACTTTGATCAATTTGAAAGGGCCGTGGGGCTGATATATGTGTTGCAAACACGGTTTGTAGAGACCTGAAGCCGGAAAACGTACTCATTTCAGCCGAAGGACACATCAAGCTGACCGACTTCGGATTGGCAAAGGAGTACGTTGAAGGACAGGAATTGCTGACAGTCTGCGGTACAAAGGAATATATGGCACCGGAGATGCTACTCGGCAAGGGCTATGACTCGGTAAAGCGTGTATATTACGACGGTGCACGTTGGCTAGTACTGATTTTAGCTTAATCTTTGTGTGGTTTGGCTTGATCAGGCTGTGGATTGGTGGTCACTTGGGGCTCTAGCGTTCGAGATGCTGACGGGGAACCCACCATTCAGGTCGAAAAACCCAGCAGACTTGCACAAAAAAATTCTCTCGGCTAAGGTTTGCCCCTGTGGTTGACTGGATTGGGATCACATCGAGCTAGAGACTCACTTTTTATCCACTTCTGTGGTCACGTAGATCCAATTGCCGCGATGGCTCTCAGGCGAAGCTCACTCGTTAATCAAATCTCTCTTGGAGCGTAATGTGAGCAAAAGACTAGGCGGAGGCAAGTCATCCATGTTTGTTGTGAAGGGAGTGCAGGCTCTAAAACGCCACCCGTTTTTCAAAGTAAGAACCGTATCAGGACGAGATTTACTTCAAACGACTAACAGAAGCTCTTGCGTGTGTTTAATGCAGTCGGTGGACTGGGAGAAGATGGAAACCCTACGCGTCCCTCCACCAATGGTGCCCAGTGTTTCTGACGAAGCAGACACCAGTAATTTTGACAAGAAGTTCACGGACATGTCGGCCTCGGACCTAATGTGCGATCCAGTCATTGAAGAAGACAACAACTTGTTCCGAGGATTCTCATTTTGCCGTCGAGACAGCCTTAAGGAGATCATCTCTAACCCCCAGTCACCGATCAACACAACGCTGCTACCAACTATCGCTAGTCTAGTTATTGATGGCGACGACATCAAGGACATCAACGACGCTATCGCGACAGCAGTGGGGAAGCAGCCAGCAATTTTAACATGAACGACGGAGTTACTGCTCCTTCTTCTCCTCCAGCTTCGCGGCGAGCGTATCAATGGAACTGAACTGGCGAGTCCAACGCGAGTTGTACAGGAACGGACGCAAGTCGAAGCGGTTGTCATCTGGCGAGTAGTTCTCAGCGTGGTAAGACGGCGTCAGTGTAGTCATCTTGTGACGGTTAACGGAGTAATAGAAGAAGAATCGCTTGACCTTCGTCGCCACTTCGGTGGGCGCCAGATGACTCCACAGGTTCGTCAGCTTGCGGAACATCCAGTAGGGGCCGCATCGGTCGATCTTGCGCAGACGACCGAAGAATCCCAGCTCGTCGTACGTCATTCCCATGTCTTCCTCGTCTAGCTGGGAGTGATCAGCGTCTTCTTCAGCGTTCTCGTCAGTGGGACGAAGCTCTGCCGTTGGAGGAGCTTCTTCAACAGTCTGCAGAGCGGGGTACTTGTATTTAACAGCAGCCCAACGAAGAAGCTTCTTCAAATCGCCTTTCGACACCGCTCCAATCGGGTTCAAGTCACCACTGCTGCAATCGTACTTGGTCATGTATCCACGTAGCGCTTCATCGACATTGCCGGAACTTAGCACAAGTAGGAAACCAGTCTTCGAGCGCACCCACGGCAACAGCTGAGCAAGCAAGTAAGCCATCACCATACGAAGGCGAGCCTGAATGTTCTGGAGCGCCAAGTCCTCCTGCAACGTGCCACCTCGCGACAAGTACTGCGGCGTCTTGCCAGTTAGAAGCGAGAAGGTCTTGACAACGGCATCCACCATCATGTCCATACCCATGTTAAGATGGTAGCATCCGATCTCGCTGGCTAGACTCGCAGCGCGCTTCTTGGTGGCAGTAGAGCTGTTCTTCGTGCCCATGTACGTAGTGTGAAGAACGTGCGATGCCAGATCAGCAGGCGTCAAAGGTTGGTACTCTTGATCCGATGTCCCCATGATGCGTTGGACGTCCTTGATAACCTGCTTGTCACCGTTGTTGGCAGCCTCGACGACGAGGTGGCACATCACTCCGACGATGCATGCCACAGACGATGAGTCCGCTCCGCCAGAAAGGGGCAAGAAGAACCCGCTGCCTCCACTACGACGCAAGTAATCCCACATCCAGCACGCCGGTCCAAGCGCAATCTCCTCCTCCGGAACATGGTAGCGTACTTCAATAGCAGGCGTAGGATGCGCAATTGGAATATCCTCTTCATCATGGCATAAGCTGAAGTCGACGTCGACCTTACGGATCACAGTGTCCAGCGAGCTAGCCTGCTCACTACGACTACTGACAGAGCCACGGTACGATCGCACGTCATCGAGGTCTACAGTGGCCGTGACCACCTCCACGTCTTTGACCGAAAACTGCGAACCTTGTGCAACCACGTGGCCGTTCACCACAATGACAGCGCAGCCGTCAAAATACAGACGGCCACCGTCGCAACCCTGCTGGTTGGCGTATAGATACACGCCACCGCTCTTGGTAGTCGCACCACGGATGAGATCCATGCGCTGGTCGAGCTTGCGCAGCTGATGGTGCGATCCTGAGCCGTTGCCGATGATCTCCACGCCCGCAAGACTGAGGCTGATGTGCGGACTGTCGGGCGTGAAGAGCTCTTCGCAGGTCTCGGACGCACAGGACGAGTCTAGCGTGGATACAGCGCCAGATCCGAAGGGAACGTGGACAGTGCCCGTGAGCTTCTGCAGACTGGCAGGCAGTACGAACTTTTCGAGGCCGCGTGGGTTGCCCTTGTCTAGGTTGGACTTCCACGTGGTGAACCAGCGCTTCTCACGGTAGTTGCCGTCGTCGGCCAGGAAGAGCTTCGGACGGATTAACAGAATGCGTTGGTTCAGACAGAAGACGCGGCAATTGTAGCGCACGCCGTTGTGCATCACGGGCATACCGATGTCGCACAGGATGTCGTTGGTTACGTCCGAGCGCAGGATGGTCTCGAGCGACTGCCAGCAGTGGAAAAACGTATCCTGCTCCAGGAAATGATCTTCGCAGCCGTAACCGCACACTTCTAGTTCGGGGCCCACGCGGTAACGAGCGCCACGTGCCTTGGCTACACGGATAGACTCGACGATGCGCCCCAAGTTGCCATCAAAGTCCAGCGCCCACTGGTTCAGGTTGCACGTGGCCACGGTCACCAGCGCGCTCATGATTCTTCGGCTTGGGGGATCGGTGGCACGTTGCTGTTTGAAGGATGTAGACGACATAAATTGGTGTGTCAGAAGTGTAACTGCTGCAAGTATTTTAACATTAAGTGCGGTTCTCGACTAGGTACGCTCTCGTCTAGGTTCGGCTTTTGTGGTCGACAAGTTGAAGTTATTGATCATGCCTGTTGTCCACTTGTTGTCTAATTTAGATGTTGGCACGCGCATGCACACGCTCTCTGCTTATCACTGCGCTGAACGATAATCCTCCTTTGCAGGACAGATTTAAGCTCCTCTGTGGTGAATGATACTCCTGGGGTGGCTGCGAAGGCAGAGCCTCAAGCGAGCTTCCTCCAAAACAGGTTTTGCGTACCTCGCTGTTGCCTCTGACTCAGCCTTCCAGCGCGTGCACCTTGCACCGCTAGTTGTGTCGGTAGCGACATCCGTCCGTCTGCCACGCAGACCTCATCTCGCCTGCAATAGCAGCTTCGAGTCAAGCCTTCAACACTGTTTCCTGGCAAGACTCGTCTCCGCAATGTGGCAGGGCAAACCCGACAGCTGGACTTGAGGGACACCGAGTCTCGGCTTCGTCACGCAGGCGAATGGAGCTCCATTTTGGTCCAGGCCTCAGTCAGTGAAAGCGAGTCTCGCATCCGAGAGGTACCAACTGTGTCCTAAAATTCGAACTGGGGTGTTCAAAATTAGAGTAAAAATGAGTCACCGCACTCATCACGTTATGACGAGGACTAGGTCTTCTTCGCGTTAGTTAATGTCTAGATCGTTATTTCACTGGCCAAAAAGCGACTCTACGCCCTTTTTACGCAGCAAATCGTGACCGTCTCTCATTCGCATGGTCTATGCACGGACATTTTCGCCATGGTCCATCAAGCCACACAGCATTCACCTGGCCGATTCGCAGACACAGGCGCTCGCTTTACCTCGAGACCAGCCTCCACAGGGCCTACGCGACGCAGTAGAGCGACGGGCGATGGCTTTGTGTATCCCCGAGTCGTCACAGAACGCGTCGGCTGCATCGAGTGTGACCAGCACGAGCGACAGCACCAATCCGTTCGGCCGCCGGCTGCTAACGAGTGTCGCCAGCTCCGCAAATGCAAGCGACGATGGCTACGTGCAGCTCGATACCGAGTTCCCTGGAGCTGTGGCCGTCTCCACAGCCGTTAACGCGCTGTCCCTGCTAGGCTTCGCCTTTATTCTCACCACATACCTGCTCTTCCCACCCGTGCGCAAGCAGCACTCGTCGCTGCTCGTGTGGGTTGCGCTAATGGGCATGCTATTCCACGGGACCGTGCTGGCTCAGACGTCCGCAACTTACGGTACTTGCTGCACCACGGCCCCCGTGGTCCAGCTCGCGCTACTCTCGCATGAACTCTACTTCTTCGCGCTGGCGTTCAACTTTTACTTCACTACCAAGTTCCCCTTCCGGTCATCGAGGTGGCTCAACCCAATCTACCACGTGGTGGTCTGGGGCACTAGTGTGGCTGTTACGATCGTAGCCTGGCAACTGGGAACAGGCAGAGTCAGCTCCTACGGGTACTGCTGGTACGCAGCTGAGGACGACAGCGACAATAACGATGGCGAGTTCATCTTGCTGGAAATCTTCTTCATCCCTGTCTGTGCCGGATACTGTGTGAGCATCGGCTGCTACATTCTAGCCACCAAACGTGTTCGACTCACCATGGGTGGGAACTCGAAAACCCGCACGAATCTGGACTCAATGCGCAGTTTCTTGTTCTGGAGCTTTTCACTCTGGATGGTCGTGACGATCCCCTACATCTTGCGGCATCGCAATGTGGTCACTACAAACTCAGATGGGGAGAAAGCTATTCGTTTCTTAGGACGCTTGGCGATCGCTTTTCTGGGTACAGGCAGCGCGATACTATGGACGAAATCCATGGGCGTACTAAATACATTTAAGCTATGGCGTCAACGGAACTGGGACGACTACTTCAAAGTATACGATGCCTCGTGGGTGCTTCGTCGCGAAATCTTGTACTTTGCTACGAAAGGAATCCAGCTGGGTGCGAGCAGCGCTAAGGGAATACCTGAAAACGAGAGTATCAACCCGAATGTCGAGTCGATCTTCTCTTTCACACAGAGGTCAGGTATTTTCCCGTGGCAGTTACGACTTGGTGCCGTATCACAGGCTCCAAGTGTGCTGTCATTCGAGCTGGACGGTGCTACATCCGGCCAGAAGGCGATCTTCCGTGACTTTGAACCTGAGGTCTTCCACGAAATTCGACGCATGTCTGGCATTACTCGCGAAAGCTATATCCAATCGTTCAAGGGGAGTACACGCGAGCGTTTCAGTGAAGGCAAGAGTGGTTCCTTCCTCTATTACACGGGTGACCAGACTTTCATCCTCAAGACATGCACCCCAGCAGAGCAGAAGTATCTCCTGTACATCTTACCCCAGTACATGGCTCACCTCCGTCGCAACCCGAACAGCTATCTCTGTCGCTATGTGGGCTGCCATGAACTGGTGATGGAGCATCACTCAGTTTTGTTCATCGTGCTGACGAACATTCTAAACAACCCAACTGTGAACATTGACGAGCTCTACGATCTCAAGGGCGCGTGGGTTGGTCGTCACCGAGGTGATTCACCTAGTGGAACTCAGCGTGTTTGCAAATTTTGTGGCCGTGATTTCGTGGTGGGTATGTCCGAGGAGGTGTGCTCTCAGAACCCAAATGCTGGGTTCGGGCATGCGGAGTTTGTCGTAGGAAAAGATCTGAACTGGTCGTGTCGTCGCCTTGGTCTTCCCACTGATGTTGCTGAGCAGTTAGGCAGTCAATTATATGCCGACACTGAATTTTTGCAGCGTATGAACTCGATGGACTACAGTCTAGTGATTGGCTTGAGTCGGCATAAATCAATCTCGACGTCTAGTGGTGGTGGAACAGTACTCTCACGGAGCGGTGGCCCACCTGTGAAGGGAAAGCTATTTGTTGGTGGGAACAGCAGTGACGAGGCAGGCTATTTGGAATCGCTGAGCCCTAATGGTGCTACACTTCAAGGACTTAGCCGCCCTAGGGGAAACCTAACGACATTCTCTGCGGACGCGTGCGTCGTGAACATGGGTATCATTGATATTTTGACTCCCTGGTCGTTCAAGAAGAGCCTAGAGCGCTGGGTACGCGTGCGACTGCAGTGTCGTGACGCGAAGGGAATTTCGTGCATGAAGCCCATTCCTTATGCCGACCGCTTCCGTCGTAACGTGATTGACACCGTCATCTTCGGTCGTCGTCTAGGTTCTAAGAGACGTCATCCAGAAAAGCAGCAAGGAGAGTCGATTATGGTGGATTTTACGAGCATGTCCATGGACGTGAATTTCTCTATGGACATCGCGAATTTGTCAATGGATACGACGTCAAACCTCTCCATGGAGATATAGAACTCCATGTCTGTCACAAGCTCCGTACAACATCCACACACCGCAGCGGAATGCTGCCACTGCCACTGCCACGATTCTCGACCGTCGTTGGATGGGATTTACTGAAGACTAACGCAGTAGACCGTGAGCACGCAGGTCATGGTCGCGTTCTCCCATCGAATCGACACGCTTCCTGAAATCCAGAGGACAAACATGTAAATAACTGTGTCAATCGATGCAGTCCAGGCTATTGCGTCGACATCCAGTACTCACCGTCGCGTTCAGCGTCCCAGAAGCACGACGAGTTGGTGTGGTATCCAGCGTTTCTCTTCTGCAGGATCGTGCAGTTCACTGTAGCAGCCCAACACATGGGCTTTTGTTAGCTTGCGTACGTACTCAATTTTACCCGTAACTATTTAACACCATTGCAAACATCTATCAAAGCGTAGCCCTGATACATGCATGCATCAATTACCTACGTACCAATGTATTTGAATCCAGCCGAACCGTTGGCCACACCCTTGAGCTCCTTCAAACACTGCGACGAGATGTCGGTCGTCCACTCATGCACATCCGCAGCGTGGTAAGTGTGACCAGACAAAACCTTCTCGGGGATCTACATGCAGCATTAGAACGCGTAAGTCTTGCGTGCTTAAGGGCTTAAAACGCGTGTTTTGGACCTCCTGGGTGATCTTCTTGACTTCGTCCTGAATCTGGTGGAACTCGTACTGTAGCATTGGCAGCCAGATACTATAGTCAGTCTCGTGGTGTAGTAATTAATGCGCAATATTTGTTGCAACATGCCGTGAAGGGCACTCACCGCGGCGTTCTCCATGATGATCTTCCGGCGCTTAAAAGGGCGACCGCAACTCATGCACAAACTTGAGTTCACATGCTTAAGTTCGCATTTCTAAATCTCATTAAGTTCGCACTCTTTGAACCACAAAGAAGCAAGCTACGTCGCCGATTGGGAGCTGCGTCTGTGACCGAGCTGCTATCGCCCATTCCAGTGTACCGTACCTTCTACAAGCAGTGTCATCTCCTCAGCTCGTGTCTTGGGCGTTGAATAGCGTGATTTTGGTGCTCTCACGTGGACTCTCACGTGGACCGAATAACATTTTAATCGATGGCAGTGACGTCGCAGTCTCCCGCATTCGCGTCGCCACGGGTTTCGACTACTACCAACGGTTATGAACCTCTCACTATGAACGGAAACAGGCTGAGTGAGCGTGCAGGTGGACTCCGCTTCGCTCAAAATGCGGAAAAGGTCAAAGCTACCGACAAGCAGGACGAGCCTCCAACGCCCATGGACATTGTGCCGTGGCGGATGCGCGAGCGCATGAAGACGATGGACGTGGCGCTGGTTCTGTGTCTAAACATCGGAACGGACCCGCCTGACGTGGAGAAATCCACGCCTTGTGCTCGTAAGGAGTGCTGGGTGGACCCGTTCTCTATGCCAGCCAAGAAGGCTATTGAGACCATTGGCAACACGCTGCAGTCGCAGTACGAGCGCTGGCAGCCGCGTGCTCGCTACAAACAGAGCTTGGACCCAACGGTGGAGAAGATCCGCGAGTTGTGTGTGAACCGACGAAGACTAGCCAAGCACGACCGCGTGCTGTTCCACTACAATGGCCACGGCGTACCTCGACCAACACAGAATGGAGAGGTCTGGGTGTTCAACAAGAGTTACACGCAATATATCCCGCTGCTAGTTTACGACCTGCAGTCATGGGTGGGGACACCATCGATCTATGTGTTTGACTGCTCGGCGGCAGGAGTGCTGTTGAGCCACTTCACGTCGCCTCCGACGACTCAAGCTCAAACACACGGACGAAATGGAAGTCCGTCTGCTAATGAAGCCATTGTGCTGGCCGCTTGCGCTGCCGATGAGCTGCTGCCGATGAACCCGGAACTGTGTGCCGACGTGTTCACATCGTGCTTGACAACTCCAATTACTGTCGCGTTGCGGTGGTTTATCTCGCAGAACGAACTCTCGATGGCGCACCTGGATGCCAGCTTCATTGAACGTATCCCTGGAAAGCTGACTGACAGAAAGACACCTTTAGGCGAGCTGAATTGGATCTTCACAGCAATTACCGATACGATTGCGTGGAATATGCTGCCTCGTGAGCTATTCCAGAAGCTGTTCCGACAGGATTTACTTGTAGCGTCACTTTTCCGTAACTTCTTGTTAGCAGAGCGCATCATGAAGTCTGAAGGTTGCTCGCCGTGCTCACTTCCAGCTTTACCACCAACAAATCACCACTCGCTGTGGCGCTCATGGGATTTGGCGGCTGAGGTGTGCTTAAACCAGCTCTACAAACTGTCAAACCCGTACCCGAATGTTGACATGAGCTTTCAGCCTTCGCGGTTCTTCGCAGAACAGCTCACAGCGTTCGAGGTGTGGCTGCAGTTCGGATCTTCGGAGAAGCCACCGCCACAACAGTTGCCTATGGTTTTGCAGGTGCTTTTGAGCCAAGTTCATCGTCTTCGCGCACTCGTGCTACTGAAGAAGTTCCTTGACTTGGGACCTTGGGCAGTGAATTTGGCACTTTCTGTTGGAATATTCCCGTATGTACTCAAGTTGCTCCAATCTCCAGCGAGTGAGCTTCGTCAGGTACTAGTCTTCATCTGGGCAAAAATTCTGTCTCTGGACTCAAGCTGCCAAGTGGATCTTGTTAAGGATGATGGTCATTCCTACTTCATATCACATCTCGCTGCCGGACTCCACAACGGTGGAGGGAATCAGAGTGCCTACAGTGCTGCGAGTAGCATGATGCCTGCTGAGCAGAAAGTAATGGCGGCCTTCATTATCTCAGTGATTTGCAACAAGAACTTACCTGGCCAAAAGAGCTGCTTGCCACAATATTTACACAAGATTTGCATCAATCTGCTTCAGGATCCCGACGAAGAAGTACGCAAATGGATTTGTTTGTGTCTGGCGAAATTGTGGGAAAACTTTGACGACGCAAAGCGTATTGTGATCGAAGACAAGGTGCCTCGGATACTTGGCTCCAAGCTGCGCGATGATCGCCCAGAAGTGCGTGGTGCTGCTGCCTATGCACTCGGTACTTTAGTTGGCTTCCAATGTGACCCCAATACAAGCGGAAAGCATGTCGATATGAATCGCTTAGAAGATTTTTTCCGACAGCGAGCACACGACGATATCATCGTAGCTTTGGAACTGCTGCGTGGTTGTCGGGATGGATCTCCATTGGTACGTCGGGAGAGTGTGCTGGCTCTAGCAAATGTTATCCTGCACAACTACCACCAACCACGTTTCGAGTTCGTAGCCAAACACTTTAAGAACCAGCTAGTTAGCACCCAAGCCACTTCTCCTGCCGACCACAGATCTTCTCCGGTTGAATTGGACTTTCAGGGCGGTAATGAAGCACGAAACTCGCTTGAGAGTATCAACGACACGAATTTCCAAGGCGGTGCAGACATATTCGTGGACGAGGAGCTGCTGGAAGAGATTGGAGAAGATGCTAAGTACTATGCGCAAATTTGGCATGTGCTCAAGGAAATGCAATCGAGAGACCCGTTTCCGCATGTGGTGGACGCCGTTAAAGCGATTGTCAGCTTCGTAAATGCTAGCATCTTGGAAGCTGAGCAAGATCAACTGCGAGAAAACAGTCAGACAGGAAGCGTGCTAGCTTCCCCTCCACGTAGTGCAAATCCTGAAAATCTCTCAGCTATGCGTGCAGAGAGAAATACTGGCGCTGCGTCTCCGTTTCGACGAGAAGTGTCTGTGCCCGGGTTGGCCAACAACCAGGTTCAGCGAAATGAAGAACGATTTGGTGTTTCCTCGGAAAATGCAGCACTCACCTCGGCGAATTCTGAACAAGGAAGCTTGATCAGAACCCCAGATACACACATGCAACCTGCTGCACCTACTCCGAAAGGACTAAGATCAGTTGTATCGGTGGGAAACTTCCAGCAGTATCAAAACAAGTTCCAACAAGGGTCTGGCAATATGCTGGCCACTAGGGATAGCCACGTGATGCCTCCTCCCACCAGCGCAGGCAGTAACATGATGCAAGGGCAATATCTTGGACAAACCTCTTCTCCAATGGGGGGATACAGAGTACCCAACAGTGGTCTGCCGGGCGAAGGAGGCATGGGAGGCTATCCAGTCCATGTACCTCCTCCAATGGAACGTTACGGCCGCCATGAAGACTTTCCACCTGCCCTGGTGTCAACTTGCTATGAACGACACAAAACTCACTTCAATGACCCGATTCTGGAGCCTGTACAGGAGGACGAGGACCCACTAAGCGAAAAGGGTGCTGAGAGATGGGAACGTTGTCGTCGCTACAGCCGCATTCGCGGTGCAGCTATGAAGCTCGCACCAGGTTTCTCGTCTCCTCGAAGTTCTACGACACAGAAAGCTGGCTTAGGTCTGCGGGACGCTAGTCTGCACAACCCACCTCCTTACCCACCCATCGAGTATGATTCTGCGCGTCGTGTGCCCACTCTTGGTGACCAGGAAGAAGTAAAGGAGTTTACGATGAACCTCCGTCAGCGGGCCGTGCTGAATAACGACGCGGAGATGACATCACTGTTGCTGTTCCACCCGTACGAAACGATGCTGCTTGTTGCGGACGAGAAAGATCAAATCTCACTTTACAACTTCGAGGAAACGGAGACGAAGGTGTTGACTTTCGGGAACAAAAATCCACCCGGGTAAGTTCATTGTCGATCTGATGGACATATCGAGCATGGCTAATGTCTTGTTCTACGTATTTCGTTTTTCCACAGCTCACGGTTGACATCTTTGAACTGGATCAATGAAACCGAGGAGAGCCTTCTGACGTGCGGCTCTGACGACGGTGTGATCAAGATTTACCACGGGTTGCACAGTCCCCATCCATCGATTGGCAGTCCAAAACTCTTATCGGCGTTCGTCGCGGTGCCTGATCTTGTGCCTGGAACTCGTGGATCGGGTCTAGTGATGAACTGGCAGCAAGACGCTGGCATGATATATGCTGGTGGTAACTCGAGTATGCTCCGTGGCTGGGATTTGCGACAAGAAAAATGCACCATCGCGCTTCCTACTCAAACGGACTCTTGTATCACGAGCATGGCGAGCGATAAGAGTATTCCAGAGACGCTAGTAGCAGGTTTTGGTGATGGCACTTTGCGAATTTTTGACGCACGCAGCAGACCGGACTATGCAGTCAAAACTATCATGAAGGAACATACGTCGTGGGTGGTGCAAACGCACATATACGCCGGCAGGAATGAACTTCTCACCGGATCTGTGACTGGTCAGTTGAAGTTTTGGGATATGCGATATCCAAAGAATAGTGTGAAATCTCTGGAAGCGCATCGATCACCGATGACTGCCCTCGCCGTTCACGACTATGCCCCGATATTTGCAAGGTACGTTTGACTGCATGACCGTAGAACCTCTCGGGGTGATACTTACTTCCTCGTTCACTTTATTTTTTTTTACCGTGTCAGTGGTTCGCACAACCAGTTTATTAAAGTGTTCCGGAGTGACGGTGAGCAGTTGGCGCTCATCCGCTACCACGAAGGATTCCTGGGCGAGCGAATTGGTCCCGTTTCGTGCTTGGCGTTCCATCCGCATCGACTTTTCTTGGCTGCAGGTGCTACCGACTCCGTAGTTGCTGTTTATTCAAGCGACAAGTAGTCTTGATCAAAAGATCAATGAAGGGTTCATAATAATTTCTCCATGTCTGCTAGTAATTCAAGAAACGTGATAATGCAAACTCGTTCGTCTTTGTTGATAAAAAAGAATCAATGCTCATGAATTGCGCGCATGCATCGATCACCGCCGATCCGCCCTCCGCTTAGTTGCTGTTCACAGGGAACTCCGGGAGCGTAGCGCTCGGGAAACGGTCGCGGTCGTGCTTCGCGCTGAAGTCGGTGTTCGGTCCAGCAGGGACAATGCCGAACGTGTTGAGGTGAGTGTGCGAGCCGTAGTAATGGAACTTAATGTGCTGCATGAGAATTTTGCTGTCGATCGACTTGACCACGGGCGGGAACTGGAAGATATCCCGCGTGTACTGCAACAACCACAACAAAATCCTCAACGTTAGATCAATTCCGTCAACAGATGTAACCAAATACAAGAATGGCCACTTACGTTGAGCAGATTCGGGTATTCCTTAATCATCTTCTTGTTTGTCTTGAAGTGCACGTGGTAGACTTCGTCGAAGCGAATGAGTGTAGTGAACAGACGAATATCCGCCTCCGTGAACAGATCCCCCATCAGAAATCGCTGCTTGGACAGGATCTCCTCCACTCGATCGAGGCTCTCGAACAGTTTGTTCACAGCCTCGTCGTACGCGACTTGCGTTGACGAGAAACCGCACTTGTAGACGCCGTTGTTGATGTCATTGTAGACCCACTCGTTGATCTCATTGATCTGCTCGCGGTACTTGGCCGGATACAGATCCACCTGGGACGGCACGATAGCATCGAACGACGAGTTGAACATGCGGATGATGTCGGCGGATTCATTAGAGACGATAGTCTTCTTGACCTCGTCCCACAACACGGGCACCGTGTAGCGCGTGTTGCCCTCAGAGCACATCTCGTACAGGTCACGCACGTACTGCGCGTTGTTGATCGCGTCCGGGATGGCGCCCTCGGATGAATACTGACCATGCCCTGACGGGCCAGCAAGCCACGGGGTCTTCTTGGGATCAGCAAAGGCCCAGCTCATGTGCTGATCCTCCGGGTCATTGGGGCGCGTGCGCTGGAATACTGGATGCACGATCGACAGACCGATGATATCTTGCAGGCCTTTCACGTAGAGTGTGATCAACGTGCGATGCGCCCACGGACAGGCTAGTGAAATGTACAAATGGTATCGGTTCGCCTCAGCGGGGAACTCGGCATCGGCATTGGGCTCGATCCAGTTGCGGAACTTGCTCGGGTCGCGTACGAACGTTCCCTTCTCGGAAACAGCCCACGTGCTCTTGGTCGTCATAATTAGAATTGTTTTGGTGCTGTTGGCTTGGTAGTCTTTGAGCTTGATGCTTCGGCGATCTTTCCACCTCTTTGGCTACTTGCTGCCTGGACGGTGGATTCGAAAGTGACGTCAACGAAGTGGATCGCAGCAGCTCGTTTCGGTAATCAGTGCCGCAACTGGTGATGCGCTGTTTCCGAGCCTCTGATTGGTGGAGACCAGAAGTTTACAAATCGAGGCGTTTCAAATCTGACGTGACCCAAGTGAGAGACTTGAATTCTAATAGTGGGAATTCCCGCACGATGTAAGTAACTTAGAGCAGTAGTTGAGTAAAACTAACCGTAAATCCTTTCCAGACCAAAAATATAAATTGCTTTGCTCAAACAGGCCAGAAAGTAAATAAGTCACTAAAGCTGCATAAAATGTTAAATAACGGGTCCATGTTGCTTTATTTCAATTAAACGGACGTATTTTGACATTCCCTTTAAAAAAAATCTGGAGGTGGCATAAATGCGTAACAAAAAGGTTGTCATCGGAGTTTCGTAATTTTTACACTCCGCGACAAAGCTATAACCCCAATATTTTCTGTCCTGGAAAAAGGACCAGAATCCGTTCAAATACGACGGTAGCCTCATGTTTGTGGTGGAACGTGCAGTTACGGCGAAAATTGACTTGAGTTTTGCGTTGGTGACCGTTCGAATGGACATTTGCTATGCATAACAAATAGAAACTCATCGACAATACGTATTAATAATGGAGCGATTCCCGCAGTTGTTTGAACGCATTTGAATTCTAAACGAAACGATGTCCTTTTTCAAAATCCAAACTCGTTTGAGTTGAAATATGAACGGGGGGGGGGGGGGTACCCCCTCTTTCAGACTTATTCTTTTGAACATGACGAAGAGCGGATTTAGGATCTTGAACGGGCTGCGGGAATCGCTACAATAACCATTGCGATACTAAAAGCAACCTATTTACTGGATTTTTTCTCTTGAATTCAGGACAAAAATCAAAGCTCTAAATTATTAATGACATTAGCTTGCTCTTCACATTCGAAGGACTCCAGCAGATGCAGTGACATAATATATATTATATACCAAATACACCATGTCAGTACGTTATCATAGAATGTAAAATTAAAAAAAAATACATCACATCTCGCGCAACCAAGCGGAGGTGTGCACTATGTTATCAGATTGTTGCACTTTGTCGATTTCTATTGATAAATAGCCAAAAATGGAACGCGTTTAAGTATAGATTTAAATCTCTCAAGTACGAAAATGCGTTTTTTTTACCGGGCGTAACTCGAAAACTACGCGTGTTCGAAGGCCCTACAGCCCACGATTATTCTTAGAATATTGTTGTCTATACGTAGCCATCACGATTCAACCGTTTTCAAAGTAGTAGTAGTTTCAAATCTTGGTTCGCCTTATCGTAAGAGGATACCCATGTTAAAGTAATTTGTGAATTAATTTTTTGATCCTATTTTCGTCCAGAGAGGCGATGGTTGGTTTGGGAGGACAGAGACTCTTTCCAATCAGAAATTAGGACATTTTAGGATTTAAAAATTTCCTAAATATTCTACATTTTGATTTGATGATACTAAGGTCAAACCAAGGTGAGTAGGTGGCATGCGTGGCCAAAGCAAGCCGCGCGGGGTACTCTCGAAGCTGGGCCAACCGGTATTTGCGAAGACAAGTCAGGAATGAGCTCCGCTTTGAGCCGAGCATTACACAGGCCAGTTGAGAGAATCATTTTTTTAGGAGAGTTTTGAATATTTAGAACACCTTAGGACTGGTGTCGAGTGTAGGTTTTTTTTTAGTATAGTAATATTGTGTTCATTGCATCAGTGGGAGCTGACTTACGAGACTTTGAAAAGCTTGCCCCTTACAGTACTAAGCTATTATCAACATGAGCTAAAGGTTTGGCTTCATTACGTTCGCTTTTTAAATTTCTATAAGCCATGGCGACTGCTCGTCAAATGTGTGCGCAGATGCGAAGCAGACGTAGGGTAATAAATACTTACGCACCAGCGTCACTCTTGCGGGTGAGCACAAAGTAGCTTGCAAAAAGGATATTCCAGCCTTCGTGTAGCCCTATATATTGTTAGGGGTTATTTTCGCTGAAGAGGCGAGGTGAAATTTTAAAATTATAAGTTTCTCAAGAAAACATAGAAATTTGATGTAGCACACATCGCTTCTTCAAACAACTTTGTGAAGACCGCCAGTCACAAAATGTATAAACATGATTGTGTGTTCGTTTAGCCAAAATCGGTGGACTCTGGACACAGGCGACATTTGCGAATTGAGTATTGGGGGGGGGGGGCAATTGAATTAGAATTGGTTAGGCTGTTCAGCCAACTAAAGCTGTGATCCCAGTAAAATTGAGGATGTAGGGGATAAGCGTTTGTCATAATTTTATCTAGAAATAACTAGAAGATGCATTTTAGGCATGTTCTGCCAATCATAACGATCCAGAGATGACAGATGATACGAGCAAGATTCTGCATTATTTTGATTGGATGACATACAACTATGTAGATTTTGAGACCGAGATGCAAAAAATCTAAACTAACGTATAGGGGCTTGACAATTTTATTTTGATATTTCATTGATCAGCAAAGTGCTCGCTACTTAAATAAAAGTGTATATTCTCCGCGTGAGAAGCGTTACCGCAACCATAGTACGACAAGACGACTAAAAATATAGCAACCTTATGGTATAGAGCGACTACAAAACCCTATGATTTGGGATAATTAAGCGTTATCTCCCTAGGTTCAGATGTTCCAAACACTTGGCTACACTAAGTATGGGGGACGACGTCCTCCGGGGTTACAGCTCATCGTGGATAACTACGTGCTATAACTCAAAGTCAAATGTGCAGTTTCAAAGCTATCGTGAAACTCCTGTGCTGCAAATGGAGCTCGAAGAGAGCGCGCACGCGTCCTTGGATCGCTGTCGAGGCGCACATCCAGCCAAAACTATTTGAGCGTATGCGCCAAAGCACCGCGAGTTGTAATCATGGTGTGGTAGAATAGGATTTAACGAAAAACCGCGATACCAAGTTACCGCTGCGAAGATGCGTCTGTTCCTACGTGAAGAAGCGGTTGATCGGTAGGTGCATGTTAAGGGCTCAGAGCGAGAAGTTGGTGTGGTTAGAGTCGAAAAGTATGTGAACGCTATCCTGGATCATGAAGGATTACAGAATATAGAACACTACTGATGATCATGGAACAGGGAAAACTAGTCACTTTGGACTCTGTGAATTTGGGTCATGTATTAAACACCGCAATACTGAGGTATGTTCTATCGGAGCACTCGCTTTGTATTTCTTCTTTCGATCGTGTGTGCAAATGGAGGCGATACCAAACTTCCTAGAACCTGAACGTTGTACGACAACAAGGTTCTCCAGTCAGAGCAGCAACTTCATTAACGTACCGTGCTCATCATGAAGCTACCATCAAAGTCTTTACTGCGCTCGGGATGCCCTCAAAAGCAAAGACGCACGCAGCGCGAGGGCCCGGAGCCAGGAGAGCTGAGCTTGCTGGAGCAACGGAATCACTAATCCGGCGGTTAGGGGGATGGAATTCGTCAGCAATGGAGGAGTGTTGTCTGAGTGGTTTACCGCGGGAAGCTATGAGGTCGTTCGCTAGATCCCGCCTGACCAACGTTTGTTTTACTTGGAGCGTGCTGCCCCATCGCCACCTGAAAGTTTCAGCGTAAGTCTTTCCTGTCACAGAGAAGTATTTGTAAGCATACACACAACTCAGCACCCCATGTTGCAACCGGAGGCTGTTTAAACTTGCTATTTTACCTTCGTGTAGTCTTCTTCCAAGATGCGGTTCTGCTACGTGGTACTCATCCACCCCACAAACTTTGGCCTTGCTATCAGTCCAACACCAGCTCGTTCGAAGCATTTGCTACAAAATTGAAGTCAAAAATGGTAACGAATAAATCACCACAAGTCATGCATTTGCAAGATATTATTCCAGGTTTAATGGATCACCTAAAGCAACCGCACAGGGCAACGCTCGATCGCATTGACAACTAAACTAGTGAAGTTGGAGCGTCGGTATTCAGTATTAAAAAAGCTACGTCTCAACTCATCTCGGGAGCTACTGCCGTTCGCATGACCGTCGACTGGGGAACAAAAACTTCTTTGCCTCCTGTGGCTCCTCAACGAAACCTTGTGCATATAACTCGCAAGCTGGAGAGATCGCTGAAGAATGTTCATCAAGTGTGGCAAGAGTGGACAAAAGGGATAAACGGAGGTCTACCTGTGCGTGAACTGGAGCAGCGTCACGGCTCAAGTTGGCGCAACACCTTTGCAGAGAAGCGCTTCTTATTCCGGCGGAAGCGTATAATTGATCGATTGAAACCAGCCTCGAGAATATACTGAGAGCCCAGATCGAGTTGTTGACTTGCATTCTCGCATTGAGGAGAACGAGGAAAGCGTTTACGCTTTGGCTTCTGAATTAGGCCAAATTGGTCTGATACACGAGAGAGAACTATCGCCTTTTGGAGTTCTGCTGGAGATGATAGTTAGCAGACTGATCGTAAACACGCTATGGCAGCTGTATAATAGGTTAATACAGCTTTCGCTAACTACTTTAGCCCCTTAGGTAGTTTATCATGAATAGTCTTCGTCTTGTCAGCAGTACCACGAGTCCTACGGGATTTTTGTGGTAGCTACAGTATCAACCATAACATTCGCAGACGTGTAGTTTGCACGTCACTCCTGGAGACATTGCTATCCTACCAGCGAAGATTCATGGCAACATAGCTGTAAACCTGGGCCATAACAAATACTCCACAGCTCGCAAAGTCGGGCTGCTGCGGAACTTCGACCCACGTAATGGGACCAATGCTTAGTTTGATAGCAGGTGTAGAAGCTTGACACCATTGCTTCGCGAAAGCATGAAGGTCTTCCATAGCAAGTCTTTTCTCGTGATCCTCGCTGCCTTTCCAAACATCCTCCATGTCCTCGTGGCATTCTTCATCGATAAAGGGTTCCTACAGGTAAGGATGCATTCGTACGATGTCTGTGTTTCCTGCATAGCGCAGAGCCAAGACAATGATCCCCCAGCGGCTTTCCTTCTGGTTGATAGGCTGAATGATGAACTTGGTAGCAGTAATAGGTATGACCGGTGGTTTTGTCCACGCGTTAGTCGATGTGAACGGTGCCAGCATGTAGCACTTCTCTGCCATGGTACCAAGCGCTTCCAAGCAGCAGTCAATTGGGCTGTCATTGAGCCATCTCTTACATAATGCACCCACCACGTCTCAAATGTGAGGAAGCATTCACCAGAATGCGTCAGAAATCCCGAGCTTTGCGCGAGACGGTTTCCACAGGAAATAAGCTTTGTCTGCCTGAGCTGCTTCGATTTAAGCGTGGCCTCCCTCGTGGCTTTGGATTGGCAGCGTTTATGATTACGATTTGCCCACTACTGCCGACGAATCGGGAGATGCAGGTGTAGTCGATGTTATAGAGCAGTCTTTCTCAACTTTCTTGTGATCTCTTGCAGCAATTTGGGTGAGCTTTGCGGAATCTTGCTGCTCCTGTGCAAAAACAAAAACGTTCTCTCGCAACACTTGTTCTTGGTTTGTTGGCACAACTCCTATTTTCTGCGTCGGTGTGACACCGTTGCTGTCACTGTACCATCCGTTCCATCTTCGCTATTTTCTTGTGCAATCGCCATAGCTTCCTCGAATTAAAACCACGACTCCACATCTGCATTGTCGTCCTCATTTTCGTCGTTGTCTCCAAATGCACTCGTAGCTACCTTCCTTCCTCTCAAACCAACATCGACAGTCTCCTTCCAGGCTTAAAGTCCTTGGGGGAAAATCTGCGCTAGAGAGTTTGAGAAGATGTTGTAACAGTTGCTTAAGCATCGCCTTCACGTAGGTATATTTTTCAGTGGACGTCACTACAACTTGGTTTGCACTATCATCTGCGTAGGCGTGCATTGCGTTGCGGGACTTCCGTTTGGAATCGTTTGATGCGCCACTGTCATTAGGCAATCTTATCTGCTTCGGCAACCTTAACTTTGACATATCCACAATAGATTGCAATGCGTCTGGCTCTGAAGCAATCCCCTCCTTGGTATCTAGGGCGTCAAAAGTACTCCACCGTACACTGATATGTCTGGTAAGACGCGAAAACCGTGACCTTCACTTGCTTCATGCTTAATGTGGCAGCATGGCAAGTGGTGGCTTGTATAAAACAGGCAGGTACACACCCAATCCACATCGTCACACTCGTATACTTGCTGCATGAGAAAAACGTTTTATTGCGACGCGCTTTCTCACGCTTGCCGCATGATTCACATACTTTTCCATTTCCTTTTTCATCTTGTCCAGCACATTTGAAGATAGCCTCCTTCCTACAGCTTTCAGGAATGCTGGTAGTGTCTGGGGTAATCGAGTGGAAGGGTGCTAGCCAATTTCAGCAACAATCTGCCGCGTGATGATCATCTGATGCTACAGTAAACCGTCAATCGTCTTGACGATTCGCGTCTTAAAGCCAAGCTGCATTTTCAAGTATTACCAGTTGAACTCGATCCTGTTTGTTGTCGTATTCCCCGCCGTGAAGTGTTTATCCCGAAAGTAGTTCGACGATATCGAGTGGCAAGAAATTCAATTCTTCTCGAAGTTGGCGAAGAAGCTGATTCCCCTTGGCTCGTTTGCAGTACTTGTTCAATTCGTCATATCCGTCGTCCTGCGTGCGACTTCTTAAGCACATATGAATTAGAAAACAGGACAGTAGAATGCTTGTTCTGTTAGCTCACTTATCAATAAAACAGTGGCGTCATTAGCTCTTGAAGGTCGTCTATCTGAGTAACCTTGGGTCCAAACACTTTACGCTTCATCAACTTTTACAGTAGGTAATATCGTGGAATTGACAGGGCAATACGTGAGCGCTCAAAGAGCACCCACCAAGAACTTTCCGCTCGACAAAATCTTTGTCGATCACCACGCTCCTCACGTGTTTTTTTTTTCTTTGAAGTATGGTGAAGTATTCCAGGGTCATTTTAATGATGACGGCGCAGTCTTTCAGACAAAAAATTAATCGCAGGGAAGCCTTTATCCGTACACGCCGTTGCGACCAAGCCCCCCCCCCCCCCCCATACAGCAAAAACAGTCAAAACGTGAATAAAGGTTGTTATAACACGATAAGGTTGGGGGTGGGGGGGGGTTGCGTTAAGTATAAGGTTGCTTAACCACATACAACTAGATGATAATTCAGATTGTTTGTGCCATGAGTGACGTCCATCGTCAAACTTTCTGCCCCTGCTCAAACATCATCTTCTGCACTTGCGTTTGCATGATCACACCACTCACAACATCCTTCTGATCTTGGATAAAGATCCAAGATTCGGCCCATGATACTTCGGACAAGGTTTCTCGTTTCTGCGACGGCACTTTGCATCCTATGCAATGATAGCACGGAGAACCAGTTAGATAAGTAAGATAACTATAAATAGCACAGTAGTTAAAGCTGCTAACCAATGCGGTCGTTCAAGAAGTCGGTGATGTGCGTAAAGAAAATACGCGCATGAGTTAAAGTCTTCACGTCGTCCACGTTTTGATTGTCAAGCAGGAGCGTATCAAAGGTCAAATAGACGCTTGAGTATCGCCGTTATGGTGAGAATGTGTGTGGTTCTGCAATAGAAGTTATTCATGTCAGTAGCGTATGCAAACCTATAATAAAGAGTATTTTTCCTTACCTGGTTACGTACTGCAATCTCGTAGTCGTTACCCAACACTCGACTCACAGTGGGTCACTGTCAGTGGCCTTTAGACGTGCCGTGCATTTACAATACCGCTGCCTGCGGTTGCGCTGCCCCTTCGACCTCGACTTCTGGAAAATTCCGTGGGTGCATCGATACATGATTTGCGAGTACCCAAATGTCGCAGGAATTTTGATCTTGGTGTACCCTAACGACGGACATGCAACTCGGTTTTCTGTCCTGGTTATAATTAGTGTCGTATATATGGGTTTACTGGTTAACAAACAATGGAATAATGGGGCAACCCACCCTAATCGGAAAATACTGGAATGAAGATGTAAATCGTATTAACAGGGAAACTCGTGCTCGGCTACGCTGGACATCAGGCTTGCTGGTGTCTCAGAACCACACGCGCTAACAATTAAATATAATTGACTTGTAGGTAGATGCTTACGGCGAGTTTGACGGCTGGTCCGAGTCGGTCGCTCTCGTTTCAACTTATAGCTTTATTATGTAATAATCATTAACAATCTACGAAAACACATAGTATTGATATTTAGAGCTGTTGCTCTATTTGTAGGTGCATTCGTCTAATTCTGGTTCTTCCAAGAGAAAAAAAATATTTCGTAGAGGTCAGTGGAAACCCACCATCAGCTACTCGTTGAGTACATGTGAACGTGTTTGGTTCACGGCAACTTCAACCAATTTTAAAAAAATCATCACGCTGTAGTGATAGTGAAAAGCAAACCTTCAACCGATAGATGTGAGCTTCTGTACCTGTAGAAATAAGTATCCGTGCCATTTTTCATATACGTTCTGGTAGTTTTGCTATGGTATTTCTAAATGACCCATATCATTATTACAGAACCAAATCAGAAAGGCATATGTATTATCAGAATATGAGCTCAATACTAGATATACTCTTAGTAATACTCGCAGTCCCTATCCCCGCTGCTTCAATCTTCATCCTCACCAGCGTCGGCTAAGTCGTCAATCCTTTTGTAGACGGACATCTCCTCGTTATCAAAGTTTTCACGTAAAACAAAGGAATACAAGCTTCTCGACTGATGCGTCTTGAAGGCGGTTGCTGACCTGGGAGTGAAGTACCTCATCAGCCAAGAAGCTCGACAAGTACTCATAATAATATTACAGCGTAAGCAATTTGAAAAACCCACTTTAACAAGTATTTGGGTGATGAAAAGGGTTAGCATTATCAAAAACAAAAGCCGGCTTGTTAACAGCCCTGGCCCAAATAGCATCTCTCAACTCGCTCAAGATTTAGTCCCTAAACTGCTAAGCAACGGCCGCTTGTTTCATTCTCTTATTGCGGGTCGAGCGCTGATCTAGTGCACTCGCAAAGGTTGGGTGTCTACACGAATGCAGATTCTACCACACGTCTAGCCCCGCCAAACAAAAACTCACAACAACAGTTGTTCGTGTAGTACACCACAAAAATGGGTCGCTGTGTTGACCCGAGCCCTCCATTTGCCTAATGTGGTGCGATGCTGCGATTTCCAAATCACGACACACTCGTCACATGTTTTGCTTTTGCATGAAAGTCACTGTGTGATCCCCAGTTCATACACCACACCACACGACCCGTCTCAAGTTAACACGGCGGCACAGCAAAACACATGTCGCTGTCGTGAATTTTAGCTTAAGCTTCTGCAGACTCCAGTATCGTCACTTCATGTCACAACACCATTTCGATGCTGCACGAAGACTAGATCGTCTGCGACTTACACTGGGAATACATGTTCTTAGAACTTTTAATCACATACTAAGTACGATATTTTGGATGTTGTCCGAACGTTGACCCATTTACGTT